TGGAGAATGACTTGAAAACTCTGAAATGGAGTTTGCTTCGATATTTGAGACAGTCATTCAAATAAGATTTTTAGATTGAACTATTGTTGTATATTGAAACTATGGACGCCATGTAATGGCAACAAATTGCAGAAGTTATTGAAAATCAGAATATTTCAAAAATCATTTTATTATTTATTTTCCAATAAAAAGATATTAAAATTGTTTAATAAGTTCTTATAGGAAATACCATGGATTTGAATAAATTTTCTGATTTTCAATTCCACACAATTTGGCATTACATGCTGTGGTTGTATGTGTTTGCAGAGCATTAAAATTCTCATTATGGAAGTAATGAAATTATTAACTATTTTGGCTATTTTTTGTTTTTGTATAAAAATGATTTATGTTTTTTTTTGTTTATATAATATTTTTGTTGTTTTGTTTTAATATTTCGTATATATCAGAGTTTTGAAAGGCTTCTTTAAGGTTCACAGAAACATAACATATATGTATATTGGTTTGTTGATTGGATTAATAATAATTGTTTTTCTTTTTTTATGCAATAAGAATTATAATATTATATAAAATATTTATAATGCTATAAGTTATATATTGTTGTTGTTTTTTATTATTATTTAAATTATAAACTACTACATATGTTGTTTATGTTATTATTTATAATATAATTAATATAATTCCATTTTTTTGTTTTCTTTGTTTGAAAAAAAAAACTGGAAATTAAAATTAAAAGCGCAACTTTATTTTTTACATATTTCTGTTTTTAAAATAAAATATTGCTTTGAAAAAAAAATATTTTTTTTTGTATGAAAAAAGAAAAGAAATTTATTACCAAAATTAATTTTATTTAAAAAAAATCATTTTATTTTTTTATTTTGTGGTAGTTAAGCCAAAAATGCAATTTTGAATTTTGTTAAAAATTTGGTTGGTTGTTAAGTGGAAACGTGGCAAAGAAAAATTTTTTTTCAAGATTTTATGTTCCACGTTACTCTAACATCATCATTTCGTTTTCTAGATGGTTTTGGTTTTTCTGTTTTGAAAAACGTTTTTCAAAGGGTGTGCCAAAAGGAATTTAGATTTGTTTTTATTAAATTTTCTGTTAATTAAAAAAAAAACAAATGATTAAATAAAATTTTATTAATTAAATTTCAATTTATTTAACAAGTTTTGTACGAACGTTTTTGAATTGCCTTGTTTGATGGTAGTTTTTTTATGTGGTTATGTAGTAGTTTCATTTTTTGTTTTATTTTTATTTCATCTTCTTCTTGTTGTTTGTTGCTGGTTGTTCTTTTTTATTGTTTGTTAACTTGTGTCTGTATGTATGTGTGTTTGTATTATTATTTACTTCTTCATTATTTTTCTTATTATTTTTATTCATTTCTTAATATTTGATTTAATAAAAAAATTTAACTACATTTTTAAATATTTTTATTTATTTATATTAATTATAGGCACCCAATTTACCGATTTCTTATTTTTTGTTTATTTTGTTGTTGTTTACAATTAGTGTTCTTGTTGCTGTGGTTGGTGGTTCTTCTTTTTGTTGTTGTTGTTGTTTGTAATTGAAATTAAAGAAAAATTATTTTTTTCTGAATTTTGTAATTTTTTAACTATTTCCTTTTGTATTTTTGTTTTGGAATTTTGAATGCCGAAAAGGGTATTTTGAGTTTTGTTGTTGTTGTTCTTATTTTTTGTTAAAGAAAACAGAGACAGAGATCTCAGATGATTTGACATTATGGAAATCAAATATTGCCTTTACCATGTAATGACCATGGAGGTCATTGAGAAATCCTTTGAGATCGGCAATAAAGACGACCTTAAAGTCATCTTCATAGCCCACCCTCATCAAGGCGTCCTATACGATACTCTAGATTACCGACCGCTTTGGTCCATTTGGCTATTTTACCAATACTGGAATTTTCTAGAGAACAAATGTATGTCATGCGACATGGATTCTATTCAATAATGGCTACTGAATGAACTACGAAGGCTAGTATTCTTTCAAGACCAGATTGTAATGATTTGATTTCTTGAATACCAGGCCTCTTATCTCTGCTTCTCTAAAACAATCGAACATAATTTGAACTACAAAATTATAATTTTTTTATTTTACGGTAAAATTTTATGTAGCCAAAAGAGAGTGTGGTTTTTTTCATGAAGGTTGAATGTTGTTGTAGTTGTTGCTGTTGTATATAAAGCTTGACTTAAACAAAACTGTCCGACAAAAGCAAAACAATTTAACAGACTACAGTTTTGAAAGAAAATGAAATTACGATTTGTGTTTTCAAGGAAGCTACAGAGTTACAGAAAGTTCCAATGCAATAGGGGTAGGGGCTAAATAAACATTATTTGGGAACATTTAAGGAACTTTCAAATAACTCTGTTTGTTTTTGGTTGTTTGTTGTTGTTGGTTTATATTTTGTTTAATCGTATTATTTTATTGCAGGTACTTGTGGTTACTATTTCCATGTTTGTTTGTTTGCTTTGTATCCATACTATTATTATTTACTATTGTTGTTGTTTTTATGTTTAATGTATAATGACACTTGTGGTATGTATGTGATAGAAAAAAAATGAAAACTTAAATTAATAAGAAAAAAAGAATACTTTTGAGGATTTATAATTAAAAAAGGGGTCTATTAAACATTCAAGATTATATTTTTGAAAGCCTTTTGTTTGATGGTTGTACTATGGGAAAATTACATTAATCTGAATAACACACGAAGTGAAATGTTATCAAACGTTGACAAAAGTCTGCATGAGTTTAAAACTATACTTCTTGAAAATTGTACCATTTACATGGTCACCGTAGTTTGTAAGGAATTCCTATTAACTTCAAAATTACTCTTGTATTCGTTTGCTATTTCTAAGATTTTATTAAACTTTTTAAATACCTCTCAAAGAAATTCAATTCAATCTTTTCTAGATGTCCGTTATTGACCTATAAGACCTATAGAATATTCCAACAAAAGTCTCTTGCAAATCCTTCAATGATAGTTTTCATATGACAATATAATTCAAAAATTAAAACATACTTTTAGGCAACATTAAAGTCAATCTTAACTTGTGACTTTTCTATAAAAATTTGCTTTTAAAATTTAATAACATTTCATTTCACAAGGTATTATCTATCTGTGTGTGAGGGGGGGTGAGGATTTGGAAAATGTAGAGATTTGAAATAATGAGGGGATATTTCAAAAACTAGTAATATAAACTATTATAGTAAGTATTTAAAAATAGTTAATTGTTTTGTATAATTCTTTGTTGGCTATTGCAAAACAAAATGGTTCTTAGACTTGTAGAATTATTGTTTGGTATTTTTGATTATTTCAGTTGCATTTGTAGTTGTTTGTTGTATTATAAGGTACTTTTGTAATATTGCATTTTAAATATTGCTATTGTAGTTGTTGTTTTATGGCTGGTTTTGTTGTGAGTAGTTGTTTTTAAATTAATAAAATCATAAGATATATAACTAAAAAAGAAAATTTCTTTTTTTATCAATCCAAAAACGTTCAAACTTTGTTGTTGTAATTATTAGTTTTTTGTTACATTACTTCATTTTCCATCTGTTTTTGTGAATTTTAACTATTTGTTTTGTTTTAAATTTAAGGCTTTTGTTTGTTTCTCTTTTTTATTATATCAATTTCTCAATAACTTTCAATATGTAAATTCATGTTATTTTCTTTGTTAGGTTTCTTAATTTGCTTTTCTTTTTTTGGTTTTGATTTAGTTTTTTTTCTTTTTCATTCAATTAACTTAAGATCATCATTAACAAAAAGAAATGTTTAAAATTAATGTTGTTATTAGCACCCTGAAAACGATTTTTCAGTCGGATTCTTATTATGTTGAATTTGCTTGATAGATTGATTGATTTGATAATTCATTCATTTAGGTTTTTTTTTGTTTTGTTTCATATTTTTTGCTATAAAAAATTTGCATTTTAACGATTTTTTGCTTTGTTAACAACGAGTAAAATCGTACTATTTGTTTTTTCTTGTTTTTAACAACAATGAACACGGAAAAATCATAATAATACAAAACGAAAATCTAAACTGAAAACTTTCTTGGCAAACTAAACATTTGCAAACAAAATAAAAAATTACAATTATTCACATAGCTCGCTCTGTACATAATGAAGGAAAAACAAAATTAAATTACAGCTTTTAGGCTTTTATGTTTCATTTTTAGGTTAGAACATAAATTTTAGAGTTTTGGCGTTTTGTATTTTCTCTTTTTTGTCTACCAAAAAAAAAAAACTTGTTAATAATTTTTGGCTAATTTGTGTTTTGTTCCACCCGGCAACAGCAGTTGCAACAGTAGTTTTGTAATATTTAGGCGTTGTTGTTGTTCTTTTCGCTCTCAATGAGTGCAGCATGACAAATGACAATTGTTTTCACTTATTCACTTTTTGTTGAGGCTAATTTGTTGTCTTTAACATTGTTATCATCATTATTATTATCGTTGTTGTTATTGTTTTTCTCCTGCTCAATTTCCATTTCGTGTGTAACAGAATTCTGCTCCTTTGACACCAGCTTCTCCTTATCCTCCTCCTCAATCTGCTCAGGTTGTTCTTTTTGGGGTTCCTTGTTGGAGGAATTATTTGTATAATCGATGGGCTTATCATCTGAAGAATCCTGATTTATTTGTTCATCTACTGCTTCTTTGGTTAAATTTTGACAATTAAACGATGATTCTGCAGATGTTAAATCCTCAGTTTCTTCCTCCTCCTCCTCCTCTTCATCAACTCTGGATTTAGATAATTCCGAATTAGCCACTTCAGCCGAGGTATCCATAGATGTTTCAGTTTCTGTGGTATCCATTTCATGGCCAAGATTTTTATCCTCCTCTGAGTCTTTTGTTAAATCCAAGGTTGACGACTCTGGTTGAGCTTTAATTGGAGTCGATGTGGCTGTGGTGGTTGTTGTGGTAATAGCAGGAGCAACTGGTGGAGCTGTCATGGTTGGAGAAGTGATCATCATCGGCTGTTGTTGTTGCTGCGGCTGCTGCTGATCACCACCAACAGCATCCCGACGCTGCATACATTTCTCCAATGCCATTTTTAATGACTTACGTTTACGTTGTTTATTAGCCTCTTTTTGTGCACTCATAACTACTGCTGCCGCCGCTGTTGCGGCCGCATCCTATTGTGAATGATTGGCGGCCGCTGCTGCAGCGGCAACGGAAGCTGGTGCAATTGTGGCACCAGCACTTAAGCCAATCTCTTGTTTATGTTCTCTAGCAATGTGACGGCGTACGGTATTGTTACGGGTAAAGGTGCGCGAACAGAACGGACAGGGCACCCGGATACCTTGATGACGTTGTCGTATATGGGCACGCAGATTTGTCTCATAGCCATACAAACGATCGCAATACAAACATTTAAGTTTTTTGCCTAAAATATTCACAGGGAGGTGAGGGTTTTTGGTGGGAGGGGAAAAATAAAAAATAATTTGTTTTTTTAATTTTGGTTTTTCAAATTGGCCAATTGGGTTTTTTTTAATTACGATAATTGGGTTACTACGATTACTCACCATCAGCTGTATTAACCATGCCACTGTTTTTGTTATTCAATTTTGTGGCATTCCATACATTTAACATATCGGCGGGTGGTATTGATGCCGCTAAACTACCGGGTAAGGAGCCATCAGCATTTTTCAGACTCTCCAATAAAGCGGTTGGTGTGGTGGGTGAGGTATTTGAGGTGGGTGGTGGTGGCGGTGAATAATTGGAATTTTCCAATTTAACCCGTAAATCTTCAGCACAGTTCTAAAACATAATAAAAAACAATATTAAAATTTAGAAAAATAATGCTTCGAAAACTTTTTTATATATGATAATATGTGACCTCCGCAGAGGTTCTGAAGTATTTTTCAATGCCTACAAAGTTGTCACATGTTCTGATACATATTTCCTCTGTAGTATAAAAAAGTTCACCAGGTCGTGAGAATTACTGTTCTCATATCGAAGGAGATTTTTCTTAAAATGCTATTTGTAACACTCACCTCTCTGGGATCATCTAAATCTTCATGATCATCCTCATTGTTAGCCTCTTTTGTACTGCCATTATTACGTTCCATTTTTACCGATCTATCCAAAGCGCCACTATTTGCATTACCATTACCTCCTGTTGTACTGGGACTGTGATTATCATAACGACTGAAAAACATAAACAAAAAACAACAACAAAAATCTCAATAAAATGTTTACTCTTATAAATCGCGTTGTATTCTCTCAAAAAATTCACCTTGATTGTGGTGATGCCCTTTCCGAATGCATTGTATCCGCTTCTGTTGGTGCTGTCGATGATGCACTGGACGATGGTCGATGATACGGAGGTTTACTTATGGGACTTGGACATTCTGATGGATTTTTCGAGCCATCTCTTAACACACTACCGCGTACTTCCTGTTCGGCATAGGGGCTGCGGAGGGCACGTTTACGTAATGGTTCATATGAAATTGGTCTATACATGGGCGGCACATATGAGGACATATTTCCCAGTGTTGAACTGCTGGGATGCATTAGTGAATCGCATTCTTGTTTTAGACTACCGGTAGAGCTACCGAGATGATGAGCAGCGCCAGCGCCGCTACCTAAACCAGCGGCAGAGCTACCACCAGCAGAACTATTTGTACCCGAGGGTGGTCCACTAATGATACCACCGGTACTGGGGCAACGTTCTGGCAGTCCTAAATTACCACCTCCGCCGCCGCCCGGTGCATTAATGCCGCCAGCGGAACTGTTAATATTACCCGAACCCAAACTGGAAGAACCACTTAGACTGTTGTTGCCAGCACCGCTAATACTGTTGCGTATGCTGCGTCGGCTGGGTGAATCCAACAGCGATGAGGATTCAATGTGTTGTTGAGCCTGTTGGGCTGCCAAACGCCCGGTTTCTGTGGACAAGCCTTTGACCTGTAGTCAATCAAACAAAAAACATCCGTTAAATGAATTTCATGGCCGCCAGTAAAATACTTACCTGTAAATTTTCGGCAGATTTGAGGAAACTGTTGAGAGCCTCTTGTGAGACATGCACTTCACCTTTGTACATAAATTCGAGCAATGCAGCCATATTATCGGAGGACGTTGCCTCCAATATAACAACACATTGTCCATTTGTGGGTGTTGTCTCAAAGAGATCGGCAAATTTTTTCGAACATGCAGCCAATATTAGTTTGTGGGCCTTAAAAACAGTGCCTGTAAATAGAAGGGAAACAAAAAATGGATCATAACAATAACAACAATTAACAATAACAATTTTCTCTAAAATATGTTTTACATTAGCAACGCCTAAAAGTAGATTTCAGTTAAACACGTTTTAAAAATTTATGATTTTTGTTCTTTTTGGAAAATCTCTTAAGAAATAGATTGCTTTTCTGTTAAAGAAAAAAACATTTTTGTATTTAGGTATATGTTGCCAACAATTTCCTTGTTTTTCCTGAAAAAAGAGGGAAGACATGTTTTTTAAAAACAATTACTTTAACAGCAGGAGGAGACCCAAAACAAAAAATGCCAAGCTTACTCGATACACCCCACTGCAGAACACTCTCACTAGGTAAGACATTCAACGATTTGACAGCTGTTCAATTTTCCCACAAAATGTTTGGCTGCCATAGAAAATGACAGGAGCCACCCCACCATAAGATGGGTATTGGACAGGCAGTTTATTTTAGGATGGGGGACATAAAATATTTCACTTTTACTTGGAGTGCATGACACGAAGACATTTGCTGTGAGTATTTTGGCAGGACAACAAAGAATGTAGAGGGAAGTGTGCTCCCGAATGCGATATTGGTTGTCAGAAAAAAAAGTTGACTGCTGCTGGCAAACTGTCTTTTCAAATTTCTTTAAGTACAAAGTTTGTGAGATACAACAAGTGCCCCATAAACAATCACGACGACTTTGCCAAGAAAATAATGACAACGCGCAGCAACATAAGATAGAAGTTTGTGTTATTGTTGTTGTTGCTGTTGTTTTCGTTCCGCATGAATAAAGGTGTATTGAAATGTTGTAATAAAAATGCCAAAGACATGAAAAACTTTGCTTAGAGATAAATAAATAACTAGTTTGCTCGTTGAGAAAGCCTGCTTCTGTGCTTCTTCTTCTTCTATGGGAGTGTAAATGACATTTAGCCTAAGTGTGTTTATTTCAGATAAATATTTTATAGGGGAATATTGTTATATTTTTATGGGATTGATTTCCGGAAAATAAAAAACAATGTGGACAAATTGCCAACAGGACTGAAGATTAAAAAAATATTTTTTAAGGAACAAAAACTGTTTAGATTTTGTATGTAAAAAAATAAACAAAGAATGCAAGTACAGTATTCAGAATCTTGCACAGCTTGATTCTAAATTAAGTACAAACTCATTTTTGACATCTGTTCTGATCCATATAACTTTTTAAATATACTATGACATGCATAATATCAAGGCCTATTAATAAGATCGTCCAGGGAAACCAGCTGGATATCAGCTGTTTCTCAAGATTGCTGTCAAAATTCATTTTTGTGAATTGACTTCCATTATGAAAACGTAAACAAAAAGCACATTTTTTACATTAGACTTGAGAAAAAACAGATGAGTTTCGTTTGCTGGGTGAACTTATCAATTTATCTTGAATAATTCTGTTATCGATCAAACAGATTAATTTGTCTTTCAAAATTGCAGACCTAGGAAGATCAGCTGATTCTTAAGTTTGCTGTCAAAAACCATCAATGTGAATTAAAAATTTAAATTACGTCAAACATCTTATTTAGTTTCGTTTATCCTCATCTTTTTCATGTTCGAATATATCAGATTTTGATTTTTCTCTCCATCGTAACAAAAGTAGAAAAGTTACTTTCAATTTTGACAAGTTTCCCCATTCTTTTCAATTTTTCGGTTAAAGATTTGGCGCGTTTACATTTGAAGTTGTTTTTGTTATTATTATTTTTCTAACATAGGGCAGTAGTTTGTTGGTGGTGGTGGTTTTAAAATATATAATGTCCTTGTTGTTGTTTTTGTTTTCCTTTGATGTTCATGGTTCAAGAGCAAGGAAATTATGTTGTTGTTCTTCTTCTTTATGTATACATATATACCTACATACATATTTACTTGGCCTTATTTTCCTCATTGTATTTCTTAACCACTGATGTCTGATTTTCTTTTTCCCCTCACCTTCTTTCAATCTCTTTTATTCTGTGCTGTATGTATGTATTCTTCGTATTTATGTTTTGAGGGTGGTGGTGGGTGGTTTTTGGGGTTGTCACTACATGGATACATATTTTAGAAATTTTTTAGGTATGTATGCGAGGTAGTTGTGTCTTGCTTTTTTTTTGTTATTTGTATTAAATATATGCTACTTATATATATCATACCAAAGGAACGCGTATTGTATGTATTTACATTTGTAAGCCACAACAGCTATGTGTATATATCTATATGACATGATTTTTATGGGTTCAAGGTCTCTGTGTTTTTTTTCTCATAATAAAAGGATAACTTTCAATTTTATTCATATTTTTCTTTTATTATCTGTTGTTTTTTGTTTGGATTTTTTTCGTTGTCTTCTATTCTTTAATATTTTGCATAGATACATTTGTATAAAGGAATGTTTATGTGATTTTCCTTTTTTTGTGGGAGAAAAACAAAAACCATTTTAATAATGCATTCTAGATGCCGGTATTGTTTATATTTTGTATGTTTTGATATTTATTCTTCTTCTTCTACCTACGAACTTGGTGAAAATTTCATTAGAATACACAATATTACCATTTTTTATTAAACTAAAAGTGAGGTTATGTGTCGTAAACACATTTTACAATTGACAATTTAAATGAAGTGTTTTATTATTATGTTTTATTATTTAAAGAAAGCTTAAATTCACAACATTTTAACTTTAATGACATCCTTGATATAAACTATTGCTATATTTACATTGCTTTATGTTAAAACTTCCATGCTCATTATTTTCTTATAACGTTTATTTGACATTTAATCAAAGGAAATGACAATTTAAAACAGTAATTTATTTAATTACGTTAAATTATCATCTCTGAATTTTTATCTTTGATTAATGAATATCAATAAATATTTCGAATGGCGAGTTTTTTATTTATTCTTCCCGGCCTCAATATAATGATTTTGAAGAAAGATGTCTCTTGATCTGTAGTCCCCTGGCTCACATATTCTAGGTTGGAAGAAATTATAATTTTCGATCTATAGGTCCCTATCTTACAATTAATGATATTTATGCCATTGATCTTTTTCGATCTATAGTTCCCTAACTCACAACTCAAATGAAATTAATGGAATTTTTCGTTGAATATCACTATAAGACATTTTATTTTTTGTATAAAAACAAAATTTTCGATTTAATATAAAAAAGAGAATATGGGAATCCTTATTGAAAGCCCCCAATTAATTCCACATTAAAAATATTTATTTTAATTCCTTTTCCATAGTTTGAGAGCCACTGGATTAACAAATGAATTTACCTGCCTATTCTGATTGTTAATATATTTTGCTCATTATTGTTGCTTTTGTAGTACAGTGTAATGTTTATTTATTAAATAACACAGGTGCAAAATAAAAATACTTGCAGTGTTTTTATTTTGCACCTTTAATTCACACTTGCCTAAAAGTATGCTTTGAAAAATGGTGTAAGAATAGAAATTATGGCATTGCAAAGGAAATTAAGATTTAGGAAGTTATGTTTGGTAAAAAAATTTAATTATTTAAATAAATTTAAAACAAAAATGCTATACAATGACTTTTTAATTATTTACTACAATTTAACATTAAAATTATTAATGCAATAATTTTATTAATGATTTGTTTTGATTTCTTTTGACCAAAAAACACAATGTCATGCCACCTATGAAATTATTCTTATATGCGTGTACATTTGTATGTTTTGTCGATATGTACATACATACATATGAAGCATCAAACCAAACAAACAAACAAACGAAAAAAAGCCTTAACTATTCGACATCACAAATTATTTTCACACTTTTTTTCCCCCCAACTAAAGCATATAGCTGATAAGCATAGCCGCACCAGCACACCATAGTGCTGTTTATATCCCCCCTCCAAATGCACACGCGCTGCAAAATAGCACTGAATTTAGGCCACATACAAAATAAACTTAAGACAAAAGCAACAACAACATCAATAAAAACAAATAAGCAACAGCAACAACAACAAACATGAAAAATATATATTCAGAAGTATATTATTATTATTTTTGTTTGTTTCTTAATTTGACGATATATGGCTGCAAATCAAGTAGTTGTAGTAGTGCAAATTTAAAGAACAACAACAATAGGGTAACAAAAAAGAAAACAATTCCTAGAAAAATATCGAAACATAGGCATATTATGATTCATCAACCCGTGGAGACGATATAGTGTGATAGTGATTTTTTTTTTTTTTTTTGAAATTATATTAGAGTTTCAATTAGAATGTTATATTTAATCTAATAATAAAATAATCGATTACAGTATAAACTAGATTTTATGCGATTAGTTTTATATAAAATACTATATTGTATATTAAATATTAGATAATTATGCAACTCTACATTTGTTTATATTTCACACATATTTAAGGTGTTCAATGTTAATTGCATCTATAGAACCCTTCATTGTTATATCACGGTCTATTAATAGAGTCATGCAGGAATATCAGCTGCTTCTCAAGTTTGCTGTTAACAAGATCTATTAATAAGGGCATCCAACAAGCGAAAGTCAGCTGTTTTTCTTAAGTCTAATATCAAAAAACTGGACATTGTTTACGTTTTCATAATGGAAATCTATTCACAACAACTGGCGAAGCAGCAGGTCTCCTAGGATGACCTTATTAGATATTTACTAGTTTTTACTATTAATAAGGGTATCCAGAAGCGATAATGTCAAGAATTTGGACTTTGAGAAGCAGGTGGTCTCCTTGGCCTTGACCTTTTTAAGAATCTACTAGTTTTTACTATTTTTCATAAAGGATTTTACTATTTTTCTTGCAGTACGGGAACATATAATATGAAAACGTAAATAATGTTTAAATTTGGGACAATAAAATTCTGAAAAACAGATGTGCTTCTCTTTCTTGTTAATACTATTAATTGTATTTTAAGGTGTCATTTCCTTTGTTTATATGTCCAATATGGGATTCCGGAAAATGGGTTCGGTTGTTATTTTTTAATAAATATTCACTTCA